AACCAGTAAAATTTCTGCTCTAGCTTTTGTGGTCTCTGAGCCTTTATCCGAAAACGAAAGTCTATAATTTTTCTTATGAAGGGGAATAACTTATAAGCGGAAGTAAATTTTTAAAATGTTAGACATTATTCTGATAGAGTTTATTACCATCTATAATGTCTGAAAATTTGAGCAAAATATAATAAAAAATAAGTGAGATGTGAGGCCTCAAAAATGGCGTCTAGGAAGTAGAAGAAAAAAAAAGAATAATAATCTTTACCAACAGAATCAGTAGAAGGTCTTCCGTTGGAAACAGAAGACCTTAATTAAATTTTGTTTGAAATGCTATTAAAATATATAAGTTGTAATATTATACAGAAAAAATACCTCCAAATCTGTGTCGAAGTACCGTTAAAAGTTATGGTCAAGGTTTGCTTTTTAAAAATAGGTCAAACTCGGAGGTCAAAGGGTCAAAATTCTTGGTATCCAATGAAAGGTTTCCTCACAACAATTACATTTTAAGATATAAACAGATCAAAAACGCATCATTAGTATGCAGCAGGAAATCTCCAAGGTCAAAAGGTGAAAGTTGTTGTTATCCAAAGAAAGGTGTTTTTACAAAAAATATACATGTCAAGTAAAAATGTTCTGGTATATACTATTCTTAAGATATGGCCAAAGTAAACGTTTGCAATATCTGTGTAAAAAGTTGGTCAAAGTCCAAGGTCAAAATTGGAGGTACCCAAAGAAAGGTCTTGTCACAAGGAATATACATGTGAAATATGAAAGTCATAGCTCCACTAAAAGTTATGGGCAAGGTTAAAGTTTTTGCAGACAGCTAGACAAACAAACAGCTAGATGGGCGCCGGACACATTATACTATCGCATAAGCTCTTCTGGTATCTGACCAATAGAGCTGAAAACCACCAAACAATTGCATAATTATATCCTCCAACTCTATTGCAGGGGAATAACTAACATGTTTAAAGCTGAACACAATGGTTAAGGAATGTGTCCGCCATATTAGATTGTACTTTTGCTATATCTGAGGATCCCTATATAAAGTGGCTGACTAAGTTACTGTTAAGCCACAGGTGCAGATGGGCACATGCTATACAGTTTTCCGTAGTGAAAAAAATCCCATAATGCAGGAAAGTAAGATGCCAAAGAAACTTACAATAATGGCTTTTGCCTATTTAACGAGTCGTGTTCACCTTTAGTCAGAGTTTTGTAAATTATATATTTATCATATAACCTAATCATTGGATTGTGATGGTATGTCTCATCTACTGTATAAAGACATAGGGATAATGACGGTGAGTGTGACCGTCAATATATGGACCATTTTTCGTGTTTTTATACACAATTACATATCAAAACTTTCCAATAAACAAAGAAATAAATATTGACAAATAAAAAACATTTGGCACGTGTTTCCACCCTCATTATTGTAATGGTTCAAAGTACGAAAACTGCATTTATTTTTATTTAATATATATGTACTTCAAATATTCCTATTAATATTGCAATACAAGCTACCACCAACTAATATAAAGCCCCGACTCAGCACCCCTGACCCTGGGACCATGAAATTCAAAATTTTGGAAGAGTTTGTCATTTTCAACGTAACTATGCACTAGATTAGTTTATTTAATGCACAGAGGCAGAAAAGAAGAAATTCAAAGAAATAATGCATTTTCACTATATAATCTATATACATGTAGCCCCATCCTAGCACTAGAACCCCTGACCCTGGTGCCTTGAATTTCACAATTTTGGTAGAGGAGTCGATGCTGATTACGATCATACCAACAGTTTGACTGCTTGAAGTCCAGAAGTATTGGGCATCCAGGCCCCAGAGGGGGGAGGGGCCGGGACCATGAAATTCACAATTTTTGTTCCCCTTCACCCATATATAGATGTACAGATATACAGGTTCAGTGGTTTCAGAGAAGAAGCTAAAATGTTCAAATGTTATCATTATTAGTTATCAAGGTCCAAACAAGGGTATAGGGGTATTTATCCCCCAAGTTTTATTCCATACACCATGAGACCGAAAGGTTTACGGAATGTTACAACCCTGGGTAAATCACTGTACACCCTTGATTGAACCTGGATAACGAATTTATTTCTTACCCATAATTTTTTTTAGAAACATCAGCCTAAATAACTGTGTCTCATTCTAATGATAAGATTTTCTACAAATTTTTAGCATTTGAAAGTTACACTTTATTGAATTTTCTCTCTGCCACTCATATCTCAACAGATTACACCATGAATATTATTTGTATGCAATAATTATAAAAGGATTTAATAATGCCAAAATATAAATTTGATAAAAATTCTGCTTATACGGTTTCAAAGGATTCTAGAGATCTAGGGTATCTAATTCATGAATACGTTGTTTGGATTTAAATATATCACCTTGATATACTACAAGTCTTTTTAATTCCACAATGCTAAAATTTCACAATTTCTAAAAAAAACTACCAATAGCGATGGTTTTAATTTCACGCTGCAATAAAAATTGATGTGAATTTTGTATAAGATTCAGATGTTTCTAAATCCAATAATAGCATTCACAATAAGTTTAATGTCGTGAAAAAAATAATAAATTGCAAACACCATGTAATTAAAACCTACCGTGATTATTTGTCAATATACAGTATCCATGGTGTTTGAGATATCGGTGTTTCGAAATACCTACGTACAGCAAAACTCGTTTAGAACGAACACGGGTATTGCGAATTTACAGATACATATAGTGAAGTCATCTTAGATCAACTATAAAGATTTCATGAATTTCTTATACGGATATAATGAATTATGGATATAGCAAAGAAATTTCATAGGTCCCAGTGACTTCATTATAACTGAGTTAAGCTGTACAACTGCGTTTCAAATTTGTATTAAAATGCATTTTTTTAGAATCAGCTACAATGTCTTCAACAAGAACTCTAACAACTTGTCTGTACAGTTCACCCCTGGCCTACTGTCAGGAATTAACGGTCTCTGAATCATCTTAACGTCAAATTAATTAAGTTAACAATAACTATTACAATGATTTCTTACAACCAGAGAAACGTACTCTACACACACGTTATAATGCAGACACTATATAAAGTAGTGTGCTATATACTGTAATGGCAAATAAACTTTTTCGTGTGCGAGAAATTTTCGCTAGTTTTGCGGGAGAATCAACATCGTGAATATTTCTTGTTCAGATTTTTATAGATATTAACATGAAATCATTTAAAACCTGACATTCAATAACATTGTATTTACAATCCAGCGTGCAAACTTTGTAATATACAAAAGAATAATCATGTAAAAAAAACTGCATTTTTACAAATCCTAAATCATAGGTTTTTACAATAAAGTGTTTGATAGAGCTGTTACACTATAACACTCAATAAAATAGACTACTGTGTATTTTCAAGTAACAACAAGAGGCCCATGGGCCATATCGCTCACCTTAGCACTGTGACTAGGAAATTTGAATTGACACTATCTAAGGAGGAATCAATATAAATATGATCATTAATGGCTTTGATATTCTTGAGAAGAAGATTTTTAACGAATTTTCCTATATATTTCTATATAAAACATTGATTTGCCATTGTGGCCCCGCCATACCCCCAGGGTTAATGTTTTGAAAAAAAAAAACTTGAATCTACACTACCTGAGGATGCTCTCATATAAATAATGATCAATCATGGCTATACTATTCTTGGGAAGATTTTAAACAAATTTTATTGTATATTTCTATGTAAATATTTGATCGGCCATGTGGCCCCTCAGAACCCCTTGGGGTCATAATCTGAACAAATTTGAATCTACACTACCTGAGGATGCTTCCATATAAATATAATTATTATACCTCTATTGATAATACTAGAATATGATTGGCTGATAAGAAAACTTTAAAACTCAATAATGACTCCAAAAGATACTGTTTACAGCAATTATGACCCAGGAAACTTTGTACGTGGGATATAATGACCCGGTCATTATAATTAATGACGGCTTAGTAATGACCTCTTAATTAAAATTCCTTTCTGAATGAAGTTTATGCGTAAAATAATAATTACTCGAGGAAAAACAACATGTTTGTAATATTGTGCATGGTCTGTTTTACATAACCATACAGAATACGGTAAAATTTTATCGTTAACTTTAACGGTTTACTCATTTCAAAATATCGTTACAATTTAGTTCAATGGAATGAAGAAGCGGCTTTTTTTAAGAGTTAAAATCTGTGTTACATTTTGACTGTGTAGAGGAAAAGTGATCGTTAATTATAACAATGTATGTCGCTTTCAACTAAATATTGTTTTAATCAGTAAATCATGATGCAAAAACTTACACGACTTGCAGTCGCAATGCAAACAACGGAGTTTACCAAATCCCGATCCCGATCAAAGAAAGAATTGTTAACGGTTCGCGATTCATTCTTTACAATATATATCGGTATAATAAAAAAATTGATTACCCAGTTTGAGTTCAACATGGTGACATAAGGACTCTCGACCTGACCCTCGACCTGGCCCACTCGATGACCTCGTGGTCCAGGTATCTGGTCCTTATTTCACCACGTTGATCTCAAAAGTGATAATCAAGTGTATATTAAACATGGCTATGCTATTCTTGAAAAGAAGATTTGTAAAGAATTTTCCTATATTTATCTTCGTTAACCTTTGATCGTCAATTGCCCCCCCCCCTACCCCAGGGGGTCATGATTTGAACAACGTTGATTCTACACAACCTGAGGATATTTCCCCATAAGTTTTATCTTTCATGACAAAGTGAGTTCTTTAGAAGAAGATTTTTAAAACATGTCACCAAATTTTCACTATTTCACAATTTTCTCCCCTTGAATAATTATAAGGGTGTGGCTTTTCATTTGAACAAACTTGAACCCCTCTTACCAAAAGACACTTTCTGCCAAGTTTGGTTGAAACTGGAACAGTGGTTCTGGAAAACAAGTCAAAACATGAAAAGTTTTCATACAGACGTCTAGAAAGACGGACGCCTCATGTGAGGTAAAAACTAATAAAATAACAGAATATTGTTTACCACTCTGATTTCTTGTTTCTCTTATCTTTTCTTCTTGTGTCTGTAATCTGGGTAAAGAAAACAAATTATCATACTTTACATCTATAGAGAATGTTTGTACTTTATTTATCTTATTTTATTCCATCATGACAAAAATGTGTCTACTTTTTGAAATTATAATTTTTTCTTTTAAATTTAATCTTGCTTTACCTTGATTAATTTTAATCATTCTAAAAAACAATTAAATGTACTAAATGCATTTACTTTATGGCTTTTTAACTGATGAACTATTCCAAGTGAAGAAAATATGTATACCTGCCAGGTTATGATTTGTCTGGTTCTCTTAGCTCAACATATTCTGTGAAATCTGTAAAAACAAATTCAGAACATTACAAACGGTATACATGTAAATAATGTGTATGAGCTTCTAAAACACAGTAGTTATTTAAGGAATCACTGTCTAGTTAGTATGCTATGCCAGGGTCGAAGTCTCAAAATTTTGTTTAAATGAAAGTCATATGAGATAAATAGAACTCATTGAAATGGTGTATATTCGTTTGGAAAGCCTCGCAAATATATATACCATTTTAACTCGTTGGATAAAGCCAATATCAAATAGCACAATATAGATATCCTCTAAATATCAGGAAGCATTCATATATGTTTTATCTTCTATGGACTGTGTGAATCTTTAAGAGATAACAGGAAGTATAGACCCCCAATACCACCTCTGCAATGTTGTTTGTTTTTTTTTTTTTAATTTTCTCTATACAAAGGACAAGATAGGGTAACAGCCGAATTTTTTATATAAAAATTAGAACACTGATAAAATTGTGATAGTTTGTAGTCAAGAAGTTAAAATGATGCTTACTTTAAGACAAGCACTAATTTTGATTCAAAAGCCCCATGGAAGCCACTTAAGGGTTCAAATATAGGGCATTTTCCCGAATTTCCTCAATTCTGGTGGATTTTCATCATATTTTGGGTACATTTCTCTTCGGAAAACATAGAGCACACGCTTGCCTATCTGAGATTTTTACATATATACTGCATCTGATAGCAGAGTATAAAATATATAAATTTGGTAGATAGGCAAGCGTGTGCTCTATGTCTTCCGAAAGAAAATGTGCTGTAAAATTAATGAAAATTTGCATAAAAATGAGATATTTTGAAAATTGACCTATTTCCTGACCTCACTGCGACCTCTGTATGTATTCTTAATCTTAAAACCAGTAGTCATTTTGTGGCAGGGGTGAAAACAGGTTTTCATGAATAAACTGTTGGATCATTCTGAAAGACACCCAAAATCGGGGGCCAAATACTGGTCTTACCCTATCTTGTCCTTTCTAAATGTGATCATAGACTTGCCAAAATAACCTTGCTTTTCACTAAATATACATTTTCTGTTCTTAAGCAAATGTGGACATCTAATGTTTCTATTTGAAAATTATAGACCTGATATGAATTTAACATTCTGTCTGTGACCTTGAACTTGATACAATGACCTTTGGTTAAAACTATTACAGACCTTCAGCTCACAAATAATCTGGTGTTGAAGTTCCAACTTCAAATTCTTATCAATTATAGAGTAACAAAGAAAGAATGAACTTCCAAGAAAAAGTTTTGAAGCATAAACAAACTTGTTTTTTCAGTGACCTTGAACTTGCCAGATCACGACATACCCTCAGGGCACAAACAGTATTTGTTCCATTATCAGCTTCCAATGAAGTTTTCTTTCAAAGTTATAGTCCAGACATGATTTTATAGATATACAACTAGTCAGACAGACGGACAAGGTGATTCCTGTGTACCTGGCCATTAAACAGACTGTGTTGGGGGTTTATAAGACTAATATGAAAATTAGTGCATGACTTAATCACATTAAGGCATAAAACATGCACAATGTTGAGATCCTCTTCTCCCTCCATCATTGGGAATCTGTTAAGAATAATTAGTAATGACTTAATTAATGTGTTTTAAATCAAGTTCGAAGTTTATTTTCTAAGGCAGATAATAGACAGACAAAACTTCAAAGGATAAAACAACATTGAAAGAAAATTGGCATAACATCAGTTGAATGACCTGGGTGATTTTAAATTAATCAAGAAGCCCAAGGACCTTACAGGTCACGTGGATACTAGTATACTGGTAACAGGCATGTAGTAACAAGGGGGGGGGGGCACCCCCCACTTTTTCCCTAACATTACCTTTACTGTTGAAAATGTTCATTGAAAGGTTGGTTGCCCCCCCCCCTCCCCCCCCCGCTCACTTTTTACTCCACTTAAGTAAAAGGATATCAATGAAGTTGGCATTGAAAAAAGCCCCCCCCCCCCCACCGAGATAGGATTTTAGGATTTTAGAATTTGGGTATTTTCCTTTCATTATTTTTTTTAACTTGTCATTTTTTACAGGTAAGTAAAGAAAAATTCCTCTGGTTGCCACCCCCTTCCTCTCCCACTTTCAAAAATGATGCTACGTGCCTGGGTAATACAACACTGTAAATGATTCACCGAAGTTGGAATATAGAAAAACTGAGAGATTAAGGTAATTCTCCACAGGTAAGAGAGGCCCACATACTTTAACTGAAGACCTGAATTTTCTCAATTCTTTAAAAATACAAACCTCGAATGTTCAAAAACTTGTAGTTAAATCTGTCAAAATGGTTATTTCTTCCTCTTCTTTAGCTTTACATAGTTAAACAGCACATCCTTGGAGACCTGTCAAAACAAACTCAGTACAATGAGTAAATATTTCTGTAAAGCTTCAATGTTTTGAAAACCTAATTTTAAAATTTAGTATATTTTAGATTATTTATGGAAATGTTCCATGAAGCCTTACTTGTAAAATTATTGTTTATAAAAAAACCTGATACTCTCCAAACTATAATACATTTTTTAAATTACTTAATCACTTATAAACCTGTTAGATATAAAGGTAAAAATAAATACCTGTATAATGATAATTATCCTCGTAATCCTTTCACATATTGTACATTACATCTTGAAGAAGCTGTCAAAATAAATACAAACAGATAAAGAAATGAAACAAGTTTTTTCTCATAAATACATTACAGGTTCAAGTTTTTGGCATACATTACATGTAAGACCACACCAGTATTTTTATGCCATTACACACGAATCTATCAGTTTTAAAATATACACTCCAATGACAAATATTTCACCATGTACAACCTTCCATGAAACATCATCATTCAAGCAATTTATAAAATGAAATAATGGGGGCCAGCCAAAAACAAATGACAACTTACAGCAGGCTTGGGGCGAATTACATTGAAAGTAATGCATTACCATTACCATTACTTCAACAATTTGAGCATTAAATTACCATTACCATTACACTATTTTCTTAAAGTAATGCATTACATTACCATTACTTAAGTAAAGTAATGCATTACCATTACCATTACTTTTTGGGGGTATTAAAAATAGAATTTTTACAATATTTTGCAATGTTTTTTTTTTGTCATAAGTATGTATCCACCCCCTTCAAAACTAAACATGATAAATGATAACTTAAATTTGATTTCAAGTTCTTGTATATAATTACAATGTCACTTACTTACAATCAACGAAAGTTAAAAGTTCTGAATTGTCAGTTTTATAACACATGTTCAATATCCGTTTTGTGTAACTATTGAAGTCATGAAGTAATACATGTATAACTTTTTGGGCACTTTAACCATGCACTGTTAACCCCTGCCTTAAATATCTAATTTATAATAAAGCATATACTATTAGGCTATTTTGATAAGTATCTTATAAAAAAAATGCATTGACAAACTTCTTGAAATTAAAGCAGACAGTGTGTATATTTTGATCTGTGAATCACAGTGAAGCAGGGAATACCTGCATGGCTTCTATTTTCTTTGGTACAATGATTTTTTCATGGTCAGTACAAGGTAAATCGATCAGCACAATTAATGTTTTTATAAACACAGTCAGGGGAAAAGGACTGGTAATTTTGAGCACTTCTCCAAACAATGCATTGTTTTAATTGTTACGTACATAAACCAGAGTCCTAGTGTGTTTTGATGACACTCTAGCTATTCAAAAGGTACCAATTATAAGCTAACAGTGTACATTAATTAGTGTATCTCACATGTGATCCTGTTAAAAAAAATCTTTTATAACTATTTTATATAATTCTTATCTGAAATAAATTTGAAAACTTGATTGTAAGGAAGGTGTACTTTCAACAGAATAAAAGGTTTATTTTAAAATAAATAGATATACATGTAGAAATGTTATCTAAATGGGTAACTTAACATTTTTATTCAATAGCATCATTTGCCAAAAAAAAAGAATAAAAGAAATAAATAAATAACCTAAAACAATAATTTCCATCACCCTAGTCCATTTCAATTTCTTAAAATAGGTACTTGTCTTACCAAATAATGCTGTGTAATGCTATGTAATGCCAGCATTACACTGGATTTTATGAAGTAATGCATTACATTACCATTACATGTAATGCAAATTTTTGGGCATTACACATTACAAGCATTACTTTGCGATCATGTAATGCATTGCAATGCATTACCATTACAATTAGCATTACCCCAAGCCTGACTTACAGGAAACATTTTGGACAAGAACAGGTATTTTGTAATGCCACGAATGCCCCTGCAAGCAGCCAAAATTTCAAATTCCATGTTTAGATTTTAATTTGTTTGCATAGTTTTTTTTCATAGTTCAAGAGGCATATCATCAAACCATCAGTCCATCACTTATTCTAAATGTCAACATGGAGTGTTAATTTATATTGGTGAAAGATGTCTCATCTCTGTCACAGATTGTCGAACGGATTTACCTTTTTACAAATAAGAATATAAATCAAACGCTTAATCTTTCTTACAATTTACATATATAATGATTCATGATAAAATGTTGAAATATCATTAGCATTGCTGTTGTTGTCCGGCTCTTGCTTTCCAACTCAGAAGCTCGATGATGGACTATAGGTTCCAAGGGTGAACTATATTCCCCATTTTAAAAAGGTGAAATATTTCCCCTGAAAGGAACTCTTTTACTGTATTTAATACGCATGCGCTATAAATAAAGTCACTTCCGCGGACGTTCGTGATGTAAACATGTTCATGGTAGGCTATAACGCCTCTGTCATATGGAAAAATGTCACTGTGTTTGTAAATTAAAAAAAATCTTACCTGATTCGTATTTTTTTTAAAAATTGTCCACTCACAGTCTATTTCAGGATTTGTATTAATCTGTATAGTAGTATAATAATGCGCTGTGTTACCCCCCCCCCTTCCCCTTACAAAAAAAGAAACAAATTACTGATAAAATACTGACACAGTGACATTTTTCCATATGACAGAGGCGTGCCAGGAGCTCCCTGGATCAATATAATATTATTTAATATATTTCAATATATTTGAACACAGAATTTTTCACATTATGCTAATATATAATTATTGACTTCATTTTCATACATATACATAAGTATCTCAAAGAAAATTTTTACCACTTTTATAAATAAAATCAAAGTATTCGTTTAACATCAATAGAAGCATGACCCTTGTTGCAGTGGAGATTGTGTAAAAAAAAAGAAGAAAAAAGTCTATCATTCCAAATGTCTTTAATTTTTAATAAACCACTTTTGATAAATGATTCCACATATAGGCTTTTCCCTTGGAATTGTATAAGTTTATTACCAAAGAGTGAGAGGTTAAGTGTTTCCTCTCGATTCTCTGGCACAAATTTTGACTGAAATTCGCTGTATGCGATGAGTGCTTTCTTATAAAAACTAGACATGTTATTTAAGGAAATTGGAGATAAATCTGAACAAGTGCATAAGAAATATTCTTGACTTGAATGCATATCTTTACTCTGTAACCAGTATTTACCAATAGCATTCCATGTTTCTAACTTTGAATGCATGATTTTATAAATTGTTTTTATTTGTTTACTTTTTATAAAATTGAATAAATTTATCATGTTCATTCCTCCTTCGTTCTTGCTTAAGCAGCACACGTTTCTGTCAATTTTATTTAATTTATTATCCCAAATAAAAGACCAGACAATGTCATTTATTTGTTTTGCATATATATCAGGTATTCCCCTCATTTCGATTTCATAGCCAATAATTGGAATTATCAAATTTTTTATTATCAAAGTTTTCCCTTTGAATGTAAGGTTCCTAGTTTTCCAGACATGCAAGCTGTTCTTTATTTTTTTCTATTTTTTCCAACCATATTGCATTAGTATCAATACCATATCCATGATTTACCCCCAAAGTTTTTATATTAGTTTTTATCCACTGTATCTTTTTAAATTTTGGTGTTTTACCTTTTGATTTGCCTATAAACAGGCCCTTTGTTTTCGAGAAATTGATTTTTGCCCCAGAGGCTTTTTCATATATTTCTAACACATTGAAGGAATGTATTATAGATTCTTCGTCCTTATTAAAAAGTTGTGTATCGTCTGCGAACATATTTATCTTACATTCTATTTTTTTATCTTTGTTAGGAATTAAAATACCCTTTATCTGCGGATTTTGTCTAATAGCACAGGCCATAGGCTCTATTTGAAGAACATATAGCAATGGAGCAATAGGGCAACCTTGTCTTGCCGATCTTGAGATTGGAAAGTATTTAGATACAAATCCATTAGTTTTAATGCATGTTTTTGATTTAATAAGAAGCATTTTTATCCAATCGCAATATTTTTTACCAAAGTTAAATCTTTTTAATGTTGCTTCTACCCAACCCCATTCAATTCTATCGAACGCTTTTTGTTGATCTAGAAATATAATTGCTCCTTCTAAATCTTCATTATCAGCATAATCAATAATATCTGGAATCAGTCTATTTGCATCACTTATGTTTCTGCCTTTAACAAATCCTTTTTGGTCTGGGTGAATTAATTTAGGTAGAACTTTTTTAATCTCTCGGCGAGTATTTTAGCTATAATTTTATAATCATTGTTCAGCATTGTTAAAGGTCTCCAATTTTTTATATATTCTCTTTCATTCCCTTTATGTATTAATGAAATGACTCCTTTTGTTTGCGAGTCACAATGTGTGGCCTTATGAAAAATGTGTTTTATAACTTTTGAAAATTCATTTTTAATTATATCCCAGTATATCTGATAAAAAGTTGATAAAATCCCATCTTCACCGGGAGATTTATTTGGCTTTAATGACATCACTGCTAGATATATTTCTTGATCGCTTATATCACTATCGAGCATGTTTACATCACAATCGTCTAATTATGTTCCCCAAACGGAGTTTGGGAACATATTGTTTATACTCGGTTTCTTATTATTATTAAGTCTTCCGTTCACAACGGAAGACTTATAGTGTTTGTATTGTTTCTTTTTATTATTATTATTATTATTATTATTCCTCCCAAATTTTGTGAGCGCGATTACTCAGAGATGGTTGGATAGATTTTCACAATTTTTTACAGGATAGTAGGCTGATATGTGAGGTTTATATAAAATTCCGTTTTTTGAAATATTCACTTCCGGTCTGAAGTTATGGCCGAATTTTCAAATTTTAAATCGACTTTTGTCCAGAATTTTTCTCAAGAACAGGTTGTGGTAAAAATGTGAAATTTACGGGACTCTTAGATCATCACATTCTCTTTGTTTTGACGTAGTTTTCGTGTGTTTCCGTTACTTCCTGTCCGAACCGGAAGTGAATTAGTGTTTCGGTCAATTTTAAACTTTTTTGTTTTAAATAATTTTTTCTATATATTTCTAGGTATAATAGAGGTATGTCAACAATAGCCAAATATATAATTTGTTTTAAAATCCGATCACACGTTTTGTAGATTTCGGCTACTTTCGCTTTGCATTTATAAAATCAAAGTACTGAAAGTACTAAAGGGGCATTTCTTACCTTTAGTTACATGGAGGTTAAGGAGGCTGGAGGGTCAACAAATAAATCCCAAATTAACCACCAGATTTAACTTATTTTTTTAGATATGGTATCCTTAGCTGTCAACTATCAATTGACAAAGAAAAATTTCAAAGATTTTTTTTTTTAAATTTATTATTTTTGTATATCTTTATATGGAGCTCTCCTTTTAAAGGAGATTGAAATAGTCTAAAAATGGCTGCAACCCCCAAGCCTCGTTAAGTTTACATGTTTTTTTTCTGCATACAGAAATAAAAACATACAGACACATTTATATTAGGAGCAAGATAGCACAATTTCAATGAAAATCAAAGTACCTAAAGTA